GATCAACTGATTTATTTAGAGCAGCAAGTTCAAGTATGTAGCTGTATGGCACTTGCCTATGCCATTAAAAAAAATGTTTGCTTATGGTAAAACAAAACAGTTTGAACTTGAATCCAAATAAATGTTCATATATTTCTTTGGCATACATTTCATTTTGTACAAATAATTTAACGAAATTAGAGATTTAGGTGTTTTATTGGATAGTGCATTAACAATAGTGAATTACCATTTAGTTAGTAACAAAGTTCCAAAAACTGGTTTTCACAATCTTGTTTCTATTTATTAGAACAGTGATGATCTATCTCTATTTCTGTTTAAATTTAAATTCAATAGTGCCCTCTGGTCTTGTTACAATATTTTTGATTTATTATTGTTTAATTGTTAATAACTAAAATGGAATGTACTCTGTTTTTTTAATCTTATTTCGACTTGGAAACAGATTTTTATCTTATTATTTTATGTATTTATTTTATATAAGCCATTATTTGCTAAATTATATGTAAAAATTGGTGCAAATTAAAAACTACTCTACATCAAATGCTGCACACTATAAGTAAAGAGTTCTGCACTGCACTATTTTTTGTTCCCTTTTATCTCAGTGCCTTAGCACATGCAATAATGTCAATAAAGAGAATATGAAACAACTTTAACTCTCAAATTTGACAGTCACTTAATATAAAGAAAATGATTCCATTTGTTTAACATAATATTTTGACACAGCTTAAATATTTATATAAACATTTTAGGTACTCATTTTTTTTTTGTCATTTCACGTTTTAATATTATTTATTTATATTATTTTTTACTAAGCAGTATATCTGTAAAAAAAGATAATTGCTAAATAGAGTTACCCACTAATGGGGATGAGGATGATGACAAAGTACTTATACAAAATAAAATTACAAAAACTTACTATGAGAGTAATCATTGGCAAATTTAAGCTCTTGCTCACTTAAATATAATTCGTCGCCCTTATCAACTCTTTTAGATTCTTCATTTAGAATGTGAATTACATACGCTTCAATTTTTTCCAGTCTGGTTCGCAAATAACTAGAAATTAAAAATCTAAGCCTATCTACTTCCAATTGATAAACACTTTTGGTAAAATCCGTGCTACTAAGTTTTTGTATATTCTCCTCCATAGTTGTAATCTGATCTAAAATAATATCTACAATTTCGGATCTATGGGGAAGAATTTCTGGTGCAAATTTTTCATTGACCCAAGCTTCTTCCATTAATTCTATTACTTCTGCTGGTGTAATTTGTACTTGATCATCAGATGCATTGGAGGCATTTTCGATATCGTCCACTATTAAATCTTCGCTTAAATCTTCCATTATTATATTATTATATTCAATATAAAAAATATATAATATTTATAAATATTTATTTTAAGAGGTTAAGAAAATACACTTTTTCCCGCGCTGTCAGCCATATGTAATGTGTTGTGTGTTGTGTTCACAGAACAGATATTTAAATCGTGTCTTATTCTTTTGCTACATTTTGTGGCTGACAGCTAAAAGGCACGAGTACATCGAAACCAAGATGACGCAATAATTTTTAATTAGGTATATGTATCTTCATAATATATTGTCTTATTTTCATTAATTAAGTTAGTTATATAGTTAATTCCGTTATTTCCTATTAAGATAACTGTTAATTCTTCAGAATCTTCTATTCATTTATTTATTGATGTCTTCTGATTTTATATACGACTGAATTTTACTGCAAAAAGACAAATAATACATTTTTTATTGTTTACGACCCTCTTTGATTGGAAGGAAATATATAAATACAAATTATTTTTTTACATTCTCAATCAGAAATAATAGAAAACGGTAGTAAATTGATAGTCCTAAAAGAAACGGATGGTAAAAAGAGAAAAATCAAAGAAGCGGCTCTAATTATGCTATATGAAAGATTGCCCATATTAAAAGAGAAAGTTATTACAAAGAAAATGTCAGTGTTAGTAAGTCAGTAACATATAGAGGATACATCTTTTTAAATAATAAACATATAAAATCAGAATTTGGTGTTTATTGAAAGTAAACCAAATGCACGACCAAATACTTACCATGTCGGGATAGTATTATAAGGTTTTTTTCCTGGGTTTTCCCTCATAATTTCCTATTGAATCACTAACAGGAGAATTTTACTATCAACATGGCATGCGTTTGTCTTTTTAAAGACGAATTACATGCTATGATTTTTTCTGACGGATATTCTCAAGTTAAAGTTCATTTCATGTAATCGAATGAAATATCTTACGTCGTCCCAGGAACGCAACTCAACAATATTGGCAATATCATTTTAAAGTCGTCTACTTTAAAATGTGTAATGTATGTCTGAATTGTCAATAACAATGAGTCAGATGAAATTAAATTAGAAGAATTTTTCACCAAGTAACAAAAAAACATATTTTGTTTAATTTACTATTGTTTGTATTTTGAGAACGATTTCCGAAGTGGAAATTAAAACGTCAATAAACTTACCTTAACCTTTAATTGTGGCTTATTCCCATTTACATAGAAATTCCTATAGAAAACGGATTTCGTAGACCTGTCGGACATGAAAACTATTAAATTTTAAATCCAGATTAAAAACGTATGTCATTGTTTTGCAAATTTAGAAACTATAAGAAAATAAACGATACGCATACCTATGCGGGAAGTAATTTCTTTTATTATATATATATATATATATATATATATATATATATATATATATATATATATATATATATATATATATATATATATATATATATATCGGTTTTCTTTTATTATACTTTTGAAAATATTTGCTTCAATGATGTTCTAACTATCCAAAATAAACTAATAAATAGGTATTATTCGATGTGATCTGTTAAATATAATACCAAAGTAGATTTAAATATTCAATCTCCTGTTTTTAAGCTATTTGTTACTAGAGCGAAATAAATCTAACTAATGGTTTTCATTTGATTTTGTAACTATTTAGATTTAGGTAATCTGTAGGTAAATAAAATACGAAGTGTAACGATACTTTAATAATTTCTTTCCAGTGTTCTAGCCTTGAGAAAGAAAGATTTTTAGGTTGTAACTAAAATATTGCAAGAAAAACCTGGATCAAGATTAATTCTCTTTGTTCTGGTTTCTAGAAATTTAATACCTAGTTTTACAGATACCATTTTTACAGATGCCAACAAATATTTTTATACAAAAAGACGGTGTAACCAGAAACTAATTTCACTAATAATTTTTACCGTGATGAACGGCACGTGGAATGCAAATTACTCCAAATCATATTGGAAGGTAAAGTGCAGGACAAAGATCAGTTTGAAGACGTGATAACTCGTGGCTGAAAGACACCTGAAGAGATGGTTTGACCGCTTACCCGCAGAAATCTTTCGTGCAGCAGTTTCCAAAACTACGATTGCCATTTCGTTCGCGAATTTTCGAAAGGAGACGGCGCAATAAGACGAAGAAGTGGCGAAATATTGAGTTTTGTACATTTCGTTGTCTGTGTTAAAGAGTTTTAGAATTATATCTATTTCTTTTTATTTGTTTGATTTATTCTATGATAAAGGTCCCATTGTTAACAGATTTTAAATGCGTGAATTTATCAGCTACTATAAAGCTAGAATCTGATAACTTGTGACTAAAAATTAAGTTCAAATCGTTTGCGTAGGCCATACTTTGCTAAAATTTATTAAAAATGGTTGCCCAGAAAGTTAAGACTATCTTTCTTTCTTATTAGGTACTTATGCTATCAAAAGCTGAGAATAAAATAGTGAAAGAAACATTAAATGCATCTGTTTTTTCTAGTACTGCCTACAATATTGAAAAATATACTACACACAAACTAAAAATGTAATACTAATTCTTAAAAAAAAAGAACATGTGTACACTAGATGTCGCAATGGTATTTTTATAAAAACCAAAAAATAAAATAAAACATTTTTCAACATTACTTATCTTTTACGTAACCAAAGCTTGTTGGAGTATGTATCAGTATTTTAACAGCAATCAGTATCGAAAACAAAGATATATTAACAATTCTTATAATAATAAAATTAAAAAAAGTATTGCCTTACCTAATGGAAATATATTTAAAAATATATTATAATTTTAAGAGTTGCGCATGCTTTTTAGTATACTTTGATAGTAATTTGTTAGAAATATTTTGAAAACATTTAAAATTACGGTATTAAGATAAGTTTGTTTTTACATTCGAGGTAATTGTGTATTTAAATAAATAAATATAGGTTTCTTTGCAGTACACTTTTACGCTTCATACATTTTCAATCTCTCCTATGTGGCTTTTACGATCAAAAATCAAATAAAATACAAAATTTTAATATTAGGTCACCACAAATATCTTTTCATTAATTCACACAAAATAAACCAATACTTAATAATATGAACAACGCAAGCTATCATTTTTATGAGCTCGGAATAGTTTATAATTTGGGTTTCCCTAACTACATGTTTTAGTAAAGCTTACGTACATTATAAAATATATATGAAAAATAATTGTTTTGTAACTACAGAAGCAACCTAAGAAAACAGTTTCGCCACATAAAATAGTAATTTTTAAATTATTTTATCTGTTTTTAAAAAATAAGTTATTTCTTCCAAATCCGAGATTTTTAAGTTTTTTTTTGCTGATCAAAACTACTTTTATTGTTAAAGGTGTTTTTTTAATGAAAAATTATGTTTAAAATTATTTATGTCATCTAGATATTTTATTGTGAACATTAAATGAACTCAGGCTGATTCCGTCCCTGTAAAAAGCATAGATGAAATATTTTATACAATTATTTTCCGGATAACGTTAAGACATCTGTCAATGGTTTCTCCCTTCCCTTAGTAAAGTTTCTAAGCACGCCGCTTTGATTTAATTTTTATTCCCTTATCAATCCAAACAAGATTTCATCACTCTCATTATTTGATAAATTGTCAAAATTATAGAATAACTTTTTCGTCGCGTGTGTGTTAATTTACCTACCTACATCCAAAATGTTTTTACGTCGAGCATGTTTTTTTATCAACCGGACGTGCGGGGTTTTCGCGAATCGTACAGTTTCACAGAGCTGTATTCAGTTAAGTGAAGAATTGAAAAATGCTTTTACTAATAAGCTTCCTGTGGTAGCTCTAGAATCGACGATTATAACACATGGAATGCCTTATCCTCAAAATGTTGAGTGCGCGCTGCAAGTGGAGGAGGTTGTACGCAAGCAGGTAAAATTTTAAATTTGTACGAGGTCTTATCAATATTTTATACCGTACCGGGGCGTTTCTAAAATTATCACAAATGATTATTTTTTAGTTTTCGTTGTTTACATCCTATATATAATATACTATTATAATTTTTTTGTATTATTTGTATTTTTGTGATTGTATACTGCACAAAAACGACTCTACTACCATCAACGAATATAGACGCATAGAAGCACTTTTCAAAAGGCAGAAATGGTCACGGTTAATATACTTTAAAATAATCCTGTAGGTGGCGACTACATAAACTTTATTATGTTATTTGTAGATTTTTGATTTGGTCTCTAATTTTATAAAATATAAAAATTTTAGGCTGAACATTCTGTGCACACAACTACACGATATTTACATAAGAAAATATCTAAAGTGACATTTGTTGGGCCACTCTTTCATATTTTAGAATAAGTAAAATAGTTTGTGACCGAGTCATCGAGCAAAAAGATAAAAGAGGGAATCTAATCGTTAGGAAAAGGAGACCAAAAAAGTGGCCCCTGATGGCGGACATATCCGGAAATGCAAAGGCGCTAAATTTAAATTTTCCAACACTTGTTAACAATACCTGTAAAATATTTTTCAGACAAGAAAGTTTTAATTAAATATCAACGATAATAGTCTAAAAAGTGACATAATTGGTAAAAAACTTCAATATAAATAAAATTTCATGTGACAGTTGGGACAAACAATAACATAACCAAACTAAATTTGACTTCTTAAACAAGGAAAGAGACTGTCTTTCCTTGTTTAAAGTGGCCTCTCAAGATAGCACTTCCTGTCTAACAAACTTTTTGTCCCCACTACCTTTACATTCCCTCTTTTATCTTTTTGCTCGATGGACCGAGTAAAGTGTGCTTCTATAATGTGTCTATATTCGCTATTACTATATTGACTGATTTAGACCAATTAATATTTTGCCACATATATACAAGCTTTAAATAGAAATATTAATCAAGAGAGCTTATATTTGTAATATAATAACTAAACAAATAAATAAATTTTAGATTATAATATACCATTGGTTATCATATTCATAGATTATGAAAAGACTTTTGATTCTGTTCAACTCGAAATCACGTTAAAACTACAGTTTGATACTCTTTTAATATAGTAGTGGCTAAGCAACCTCTTAGCTCCGTAACTCCATAACGTAACATAAATTTTAGATTAATATATAAGTACCATTGGTTATCATATTCATAGATTATGAAAATACTTTTGATTCTGTTCAACTCGAAATCACGTTAAAACTGAAGTTTGATACTCTTTTAATATAGTAGTGGCTAAGTAACCTCTTAGCTCCGTAACTCCATAACGGAGTTTCTATGCTTCGCCTAAACTTCGGCCCACCCTCTTCGACTAAGGTAGTACAAGACATACATATAAAAGACTCCAAACGGACCTCATGTTATTCTTAGTATTGTTTTGAAGCTATTTTCTGGTGGCATTTTAAAGTAATTACTATTTAAATCGGAATAAGCCACAATTAAAGGTTAAAATACGTATATTGACATTTCAATTTCCACTTCGGAAATCGTTCTCAAAATAGTGAAAACACTAATGTACGCTTCCTCGTGCAGAATCTTAGAATTTTCCTTTCAGTGGCCATTATGGCGTTAATTTAGCAGGTGTTAAGTGATGCGTAGACGCATGCCTTTTATTCGATTATCAGTCTTGTGAAGGTTTTATAGATGTGCAATAGTGTTTTAGTTGACGTATTGCCCATTTTACCGGACAGCGCTACCAGGAGTCTAGCCCTCTTTCTTACCCTGTCCAGGGTGTTTTGTATGTCGGTTTTTCAGTTGAGTGTCCGGCTAAAATGACTCCCAAATAGCAAACTGAGTTTCTGAGACTAAGGTCTTCTTCTAGCAAGGTTATCCGGCAATGGACATCATGGCAGTGGGGATATTTAAATAGTAATAGTTGGGTTTTGGAGGCGTTAATAGTTACTCTCCATCTATTGCACCACCTAATAACTCGGTCTAGGTAGTTTTGAGCTATTTCGAATACAGACATTTGTCCAAGCTCTCTATGTGGCCCTGACGTGAGGAGCGCAGTGTCGTCAGCATACAGAAGTAGGGTTTACGATCTATACTGAGGGCGGAGGATGTATATCGTATTAGAGCGAGAATTGAGCCTTGGGCTACTCTAGCTTGTGAAGTGAATGGTGAGGATTAAGTGTTGCCAACTTTGATCCGAAACGTCAGATTAGAGAGATAGGAATTTATCAGTTTAACGAAAGATGCGGGCAGTCCAGCAAGGTGGAGTTTTTCGATCAGGCCTGTGTGCCAGACCTAATCGAATGCCTTCCGGAAGTCTAGGAATATGCCTATGACGTGTTGTCTTTCGTTAATTGATTGTGAAATGAACGTTGTTGCTTCAACCAATGCATCTTGTGTGGAATGTCCAGCCCTGAATCCGATAAGATAATTTGGAATGGCGAAGTGAGTGTTTAGGAATTCTACGAGTCTCTCCTTAAGGATCCTCTCGTAGACTTTACCTAGGGTGCTTAGTAGTGAAATAGGCCTATAAGATTTAGGGTAGGGGTTTCCCTAGCAATGAGATTATATTCGCTGGAAGATTTTTGAGGCATTTTCTGTGGACGCCATCCGGGCCAGGTGATGTGTTTTTGCCAATGTTACACATCTGCCTGACGGTGTCCTTAGTCACAGGAGCCGTCATCGGATGAAGATGAGGCCTCATGTGCGCCTGAGGGTAGTAGAATATATCTTCTACTCTTCGTTGGACTTTCCTTTTGGATCTTTCGTTAAAATTGGTGTTATTGGGGGAAACGAGTGCGGCCTGGAGTGTGCTTTTGAAGGCTTTGGTCTTGTCTTGTGGATTACTAAGAATGACGTTATTGACTATGAGATGTGAACGTGGTTGACTTTTTTGCTTTGTTAGGATTTTGAATTGGTTCCAGAATCTAGCACCCTCCCGGTAGTCCAGGCTGGCCGTAACTAGTATCCACTATTTTTGTTTCAGCTTGTTTACTTCCAACCTTATTGACGCCAAGAGCCTGTTATATTCTGCTTTGATGAACGGGCCTCAGAATCTTTATAGTCTCTGATCATTTTGCGTTTTGTTTTGATTTTTTCCATGATTTTTGGTGGGAGAGCTGAAGAATATAGATTAGATCGTGCTATTGGAATAGCTAGGGATATGGCTTCTTGAACAAGGTTTTTTAATTTTGAAAATCCTTGTGTCAACTTGAGTATTTGTTGACATGTAACTCTGGGAGGTTTTGATTGATATGTTCTTTTGGTTGATATTTTCAGAAAAGTTCCCAATTTTCCTTAATATAATGTTACTTGTAGATAGCAGTTTTAATGGTTGGAGGAGAATTGAAGTTAGTTTTGACTAAAAGTGGGAGGAAGTCAGAGGTTATTAAATCTCCAATGAAACTTTCATCATCGATTTTATCTAGCATTCTGTTTGTAGACAAGATATAATCGACTATTTCATTGTGATTGAAGAACGTGACTTCTTTATTGGTAATTCTAGAAATGAGCAGCTCTAGAAGAAGGTCTGAGAGCATTCTGCCGGGGACGTTGGTGGGGGTATCTCCAAATTGAGTGTCGTTGCTATTAAGATCACCCATTAAAACGCCTTTTCGAGTATGAAAAAGTAATCAACAAGAAGTACGGAAAGCTTTATTACACAAGCAAGGAGACATAACAGATTTTAAAAACTACCGTCCTATCAGTTTGCTTTCAAACATATAACTTTTCACAAAAATTATCAAAAACAGACTGGATGCTAAATAAGACTTCTATCAGCCTAGAGAACAAGTTAGATTTAGATCGGGATACAGCTCTAACGACCACTTACTAGTGATAAAAAACCTGATATAGAAGTCTGCAGAATACAACAAACCATTGGCACTGAATAAGCCATCAGAAAATGTTAAAAGCATTAACAGAATGCCGAATATACCATCGCTACACTAACATAATCAAATATATCTACCAAAATGCCACAGCTAGTGTAAGACTATCTGAACAAGAAATAAATGTGAGCATGGAGCTAACATAATCAAATATATCTACCAAAATGCCACAGCTAGTGTAAGAATATCTGAACAAGAAATAAATGTGAGCATGGAGCAATAATGTTTGAAAAATTATATCACGCTTCCTTGGAGGTCGAAATAAAGATTAATATGTACAAGAAGTTAAGAAAACAGAGATGGTCCTCTTTACCAGGAAAAGAAGAATCACGGGATTAATACCCCCAAGGATTCTAAACTACAGTCTAAATTTTTCTGACGAGGTGAAGTACCTTGGTATTACCCTTGACAGGAAGTTAACATGGAACTCACACCTAGATGCTAGAGCTAAAGGAGCATATATTGCCTATGAACAGTGTCGACAAACGGTTGGACGCATCTGGGCCTCACGCTCAGGGTGATCGCCTGGGTCTACACTGCTGTCATTAGGCCAATGCTAACTTACGGAGCTATTGCTTGGGTACCAAAACTGCTACAGGCAACAGCAATTAACAAACTAAACCATATTCAGCGGATGGCTTGCATAAATATAACAGGTGCCATGAAAACAACACCAACTGCTGCAATGGAGTTGATCATTGGCATCACGCCTCTAGATATATATGTCAAAGAGGTGGCTCTAGTGACAATGATGGGACTGCGCTCAGCTGGTGCAAACCTTGATGTAGGAATGGGACAATTGAGAACTCGTTTCTGGCGGGGGGAGCTGGATGCGTTACCAGTACTACAGGCAGGCTGCGACTCAATTGAACCAAAGTTCGTCTTTAACAAACCCTACAAAATTGAAACAAGACAGTGCATGGAGACAAACGTGGCAAATGCCTATTGCATATACACCGATCGCTCCAAAATTAAAGGAGGATCAGGATGCGGGATATACTCCAGATCACTGAACCTAAGAATAAAGTGGCGTATGAGCAAAAATGCCAGTGTAGTTCAGACAGAACTGACTGGTATCTCC